CTCTATCCACTGAGCTAAACCGGTCTCGGCCAAAGCCCAGTTTTATCACTCCCAGCTGGGTGACACTGAATGCGTTACTTCACTTCTCAGACCTGCTTCAGCTGATGACTGGCCGCTTTTCTCTGAACATCTTTAATAATCCCGATTCACCGACTCAGGAAGTCAACAAGCCTTTCCCAAGCACCTACTATGTGCCAGAGCACCTACTATGTGCCAGGGACTGTGCTAGGGCCAGGGATGCATGGATCACAATGCACGGAAGGCCAGCGAATGCGTGGAGGATATTGACAGTCCTTGGTGGGCCCCCACTGTCCCCGTGCCTGGCGGGCCAGGTGTTACCAACAAGGCAATTTGGAACACAATGTTGCCTCCCGCAGGCCCAGAGCGTCCCTGCTTCAGAAGGCCTGGGATGAGAATTGGGCCTTCTCCGTGTTGGAGGCCCACGTAACCATGGTTACAGGTTGGGTACCTGCCCCTCCCTCCTGCCCCTCACTGTAGGACACACACACACACACACACACACACACACACACACACACACGCATGCGCGCCTTGTCCCCACCAAGATCCACCGTCTCTCTCGCTTCTGGCGGCGGTTCACTCTCCATCACTGACTGTTTAGCAACTGACTCAGGAGACACAGAAACCGTTTTGTTGTAACACATTCTCTCCCGTGATGACTGCTCAGTTCCATTAGCTCCCGGTGGCCTGAGAGGCAGACACGCGGGGCCCGCTCGGACGCCTCCCCGCCTCCGTCTGAAATTATTGGACCCACCGAAGGCGGCGGGCCCTGGGGGGTGGGGCGCGGGGATCGACGTCCCGCCGGTTTGTTCTCATTTCCATGCGTCTCCCCCTGCATGCCGGCGCACTGCAGACTGTAAATCCGAGGGGAGACGGGCAGCGTGCAAACACGATAAATAAACATGCTGCTTTGGCGAGGGCGATCTCGTGGTCACGCAGATTTACAGCTCTCCTCGCGGGCCAGCGGGGGCATTGCATTTGTGGAGAAGCCGGGCGGGCGAGGTGTTCAGCTTCTCTGGGTGCCCTGGACCAACGTTCTGCTCTTCACCCCCATCACCCCTCCCCTCCCCTCTGCCCTCCCCCCGGAGTCACCTAAACATCGGCCTGAAAGAGGGGGAGCAGTGCGTCTCCCTGGAAGCCATGAGTCTGGACAGGTGTTTTCCTGGGGACGTTTACAGCTGCCAAAGCGATCCTGCGTGGGGGGGCGCTTTTGTCTCCTTCGAGGTTGTTTCTCTGCGATGGAACGTGCTTTTATTTTCCCGGTGGGAGAAGTACCAGAGAAGTGACTGAAGCCTCCCCTCCTCCCCTCCCCCCGCCTCTCCACATTTTCTGTCCTGGGGACAGGCACCAGAGGATTCTCCCCTGAGCAAACGGATCACCTTCTCTGTGCCCCTCCGGCCCCTCAGGCTGCTCCTGACCCCCCCCCCCCCCCCCCCCGTCCTAATGTATAGGGATATTTCCGTGTCTGTCTCCACCCCCACCTCTGGCTCTCCCCCCCATGCCAACCCCACCAGATGGTGAAGGCCCCGGGCACAGGGAGGGACGTCAGCTCACAGCCTTCCCCCGCTCCTCCGTCCCAGGTTCTCCTGTCAGTCAAAGGACCCCCTCCCAGGAGCTGCTCAGGCTGAGTGTGGGGGCCTCTCGGACTTGTCACCTCCCCCTGCCCACATCCGGCCTGCCACCAAGTCCGGTGGCTTCCTCCCTCCATGTGACATGGAGACCCCACACTGCCCTGCCCCCCACCGACCTCTCAGATTTCCCGTGGGTCTCCCCACAATGCCAGGCCCAGCAGGGAGCTGGTCCCGGACCACAGCCCCGTCTCCGGAGGGTCACCACAGCAGGGTCATTACTGACTCCCCACCCCCACCCCCACCCCCCCACCCCAGGCCTCACTGTAATAGCGAAGGGATAGGGCAGTGGAGCACATGCCTGCAGACTCTGTTGCTAAGGAAACCACTTCCTTGGTTACTGGCCTGGGTAGCATGTGTCTCGCTGTGTCTGGATCCCACTGAGTCACGCCCATTCTCCAGGAAGGCGAGGAAGGAGGACTGGGGAGAGGACAATAGGGTGGGGAGGGAGGATTGGGGAGAGGACAATGGGGTGGGGAGGGGGGAGGGAGGATTGGGGAGAGGACAATAGGGTGGGGAGGGGGGAGGGAGGATTGGGGAGGGGACAATAGGGTGGGGAGGGGAGAGGGAGGATTGGGGAGAGGACAATGGGGTGGGGTGGGGGGAGGGAGGATTGGGGAGAGGACAATAGGGGGGAGGGGGGAGGGAGGATTGGGGAGAGGACAATAGGGTGGGGAGGGAGGATTGGGGAGAGGACAATAGGGGGGAGGGGGGAGGGAGGATTGGGGAGAGGACAATAGGGTGGGGAGGGGGGAGGGAGGATTGGGGAGAGGACAATAGGGTGGGGAGGGGGGAGGGAGGGCAGGAGCCAGAGGTGGGCAGGGAGACAGGAGCTCGGAGCTCAGGGGGGAGACGTAGTGAGATGCTTGTCCAGCAGAAGCAGGAACCGAGCAAGAGATGATGATGATGAAACGCGGGCGAGGAAAGAGAGAGGAGGACGAGAAAGGAGAGAGGGCTAGGAGCAGCTCGAGGAAATACACGAGACCACGAGAAGGGAAACAGAGACAGGGAGGCCATGGGCAGGAGCCCAGTGAGAGGGGGAGGGGTGGGGGGAGAGCAGAGCAATGTGTGAGGGAAGCGGGGAAGGGACTGAGGCTGGGCCTCTGCGGGGCCAGGGCTCAGCCTGTGACCAAGACTCCAGCTTCGGGGTGACTCGGGGTCCATCATCTGAGACCAGTCACACTTAGTTACCCTGGTTCAGGCTCAGGCTGGGGCCAGAGTCCCGATGTGAGACAGGGTCAGAGGGCAGCCTGGGGTCCCGGGAACCTCACAGAAAGGCTTGCAGAGCCGACACAACCCCCCCCCTCCCCCCGGAGGAGCAGGGCCCTCCCTGGATCCTGGAAGAGCCCCCCCTTCTCCCGTTTCCGAGGTCTTCCTTTCCAGACCTCCATCTCCTCCCGGTCCGGGCGCCCCTTCCCCTGCCTGTCCCAGCTGCTGACTGCCCCCCCTCCCACCTCCTCCCCGTTCCACCTCCTCCCTGTCCCACCTCTTCCCAGTTCCACCTCCTCCCTGTTCCACCTCCACCCCGTTCCACCTCCTCCCGGTTCCACCTCCTCCCCGTTCCACCTCCTCCCCGTCCCACCTCCTCCCCGTCCCACCTCCTCCCCGTTCCACCTCCTCCCCGTTCCACCTCCTCCCGGTTCCACCTCCTCCCCGTTCCACCTCCTCCCCGTCCCACCTCCTCCCCGTTCCACCTCCTCCCGGTTCCACCTCCTCCCCGTCCCACCTCCTCCCCGTCCCACCTCCTCCCCGTTCCACCTCCTCCCCGTTCCACCTCCTCCCTGTTCCACTGAGGCCGCTCTGTCTGTGGGGTCTGAGGGCACCGTCCTCCCGCTCTACGTGTGCGGGACTCCACACGCAGGACCCCCCCCCCCCCCCGGGGCACCGGTGCCGGGGTCACAGCCTCAGGGCAGCGGGCTGCTGGCCCCGGGGACAGTGTCCCCCCCCCCCCCCGGGGGCACCGGTGCGGGGGACACAGCCTCGGGACAGCGGGCTGCTGGCCCCGGGGACAGTGTCCCCCCCCCCCCGGGGGGCACCGGTGCGGGGGACACAGCCTCGGGGCAGCGGGCTGCTGGCCCCGGGGACAGTGTCCCCCCCCCCCCGGGGGGCACCGGTGCCGGGGACACAGCCTCGGGGCAGCGGGCTGCTGGCCCCGGGGACAGTGCCCCCCCCCCTGGGGGCACCGGTGCGGGGGACACAGCCTCAGGGCAGCGGGCTGCTGGCCCCGGGGACAGTGTCCCCCCCCCCCCCCGGGGGGCACCGGTGCGGGGGTCACAGCCTCAGGGCAGCGGGCTGCTGGCCCCGGGGACAGTGTCATACACACAGGTGCTCGCTCGGTTCTCCACCAGCCGTGCCAGAGTCACCCAGACACAGGCAGGTCCAACCCAGACACCCCCGAAAACACCCCCGGTGAGCGCGCCTCACACAACACGGCCTCGGGGTGGAATTCTCAACGAAACTCCCTTTTAATGGTGCTGTTGACCTGAGGAATCTTCAGACAGAGGCCTGTGGCCTGGGGTGGCCCAGGCCGAGGGCCCAGAGGCCCCCAGAGGCGCTGGCCTGTGGGTGGGAGCAGTGGTGGGGGGGGTGAGAGGTGGGGGGGGGGTCCCCCCAAGACTAGAAATGAGCCCGGGGAACGAATCGCGGTACAAAATACATTCAGAGCCCCGGCTGGGCCCTGGGGTCGCCTGCAGCCGGCAGGGGAGGGCTCAGGGCGAGAATCACAGGTCTGATCCGCTGGCCCCTTCGCCCTGCATGGCCGGCTGCTAAGGGGTGGAATGTATGAGTCCTTTTCCTCTTAAAAAAATAAATCTCTGGACACTCGCCTTCTCCGTGGTCTCCTGGCTATTGGGGAGCGAGCCTGTCCTTGCACCCCGAGGCTTCAGGGGGGGAGGGGGCTGCTGGGGAGGGGGGTGCTCCGAACAGAACAGTGACGAGCTGGGACCTATGGCTTTTGTGTCTACGCGGTGGGGGCGGTGCAGAGCGCGGGCGTGGGCCCAGTGGGAAGCCGCTGGTCTCCAAGGCGCGGAAGCAGAGGGATCCTGGATCCGTGCTTTCGAAGATCGAGCATCGGGGACGGGGGCCCAGGAATCCTTTGGTTTGCTGTCTCGGCTTCGGGGAGCAGCATTCGCACGGGAGGGAAGAGCCATCGGGTTCCTGTCACCCCTCAGAGGCCGCACGTGGGACTGTGATGGAGGGAGGCCGATGGTCCGGGGAGGGGAGCTGGGCCGCTTCTGGGTCTGGTTCCCCCTGGTTCGGAGCACCCTGGCTCTCTCGCCTGGAGAGCCAAGTCCCCGTCGGCAGGGCTCGGAGGCAGTGTGAGGTCCACGTGTCGCACCCGTCGCTCTCGTTCTTACTCGGAGTCCGTGTGGGCCCTCGGCCATCCTGGGGGTGGGGGTGGGGGTAACCTTTGGTGCCCAGAGAACCCTGGACGGGGGACGGGGGATCAGGGACCCTCAGGTCACCTCCTGGGCCCAGTGGGGCAGGGAAGGGCAGAGTTTGACCTTGACTCGGTCCTCAGGAGCAGTGGGGTGGGCTCGCGATGCGGGGACCCTGCCTGGGGGTGCCCGTGAACCTCCCGCGAGCATTGGGGCTCCCCCACCCAGCCAGGATGTCCGAAACTGGACGCCATGAGAAGCCTCCAGCCATCCGTCTTTCGTCCCCCCGAGCGGCCGATGAACCAGGTGCCGCTCGCTGCTGCTCGGTGGAGAGAGGGGCCCACGGGAGCCCAGCCCCAGAGGGCGGAGCACCGGGGTCACTTTCCTTAGCACCCAGGTCCCCAGGACCCATGGGAGGCACCCAGGAGCCCACCTCCCAGGGGGAGAACCAGAGTGGTGGGGGACAGAAGTCTGTGTGGCTGGGACCCCTTCCCCCCGCCCTCAATCAGGGGCCTCCTAGGCTGGGAAGGGCTGTGGGCGGGCAGGTGGCTGTCCCCTGAGGCTCCTGTGTCATGCAGGACACGCACTGAAGGCCAGCAGCAGCCGAGGGGGCTGTCCCCGGCCAGACGATGGGTTGGGGGGTCCCCAGAGGCCTTGAGGCCCCTCCCCGGCCAGCCCATCATCTGGGGTAGTAGTCGTCAGGCACGCCCGTGAGGTTACGCCCCCTCAGGGCTGCGTCCACCAGCTTGATGTAGGCCTGGATGGTGCGCTGCATGTCCGCCGTGTAGGGGTCGTACTCCAGCTTGCGCAGCCCCGAGCGCTTGAAGTTGCCGTCCTTCTGGCTCTCCACGCACAGCAGCCGGTCCTCGCGCGCGGCCACGCCCAGCAGGCGCACCATGCGGCCCAGCTGCGCGAACAGGTCCCGCTTCAGGTCCTCGAAGTGCACCACCAGCACCTTCTTGCCGAACTTGAGCCAGTCCAGCGTGTGCGTGGCCCACCACGGCGCATAGTTCCGCACGAACTCGGGCCACTCTGGGGAAGAGAGGAGGGAGGGAGGGAGGGCCGGGTCAGAGGGCGGAGGGGCTCCCGGACCCAGGACCGAGCGGCTGCTGTCACTCACAGCAGTACGAACACCTCTCCTCCTGGGAGATCTCCACACCCACTCCCTTGCTGGGCTTGTAAAAGCATAGGATGGCCGAAACCGGTTTGGCTCAGTGGATAGAGTGTCAGCCTGCGGACTGAAAGGTCCCAGGTTCGATTCCAGTCAAGGGCATGTACCTTGGTTGTGGGCACATCCCCAGTAGGGGATATGGAAGAGGCAGCTGATGATGATTCTCTCTCATCAATGTTTCTAACTCTCTCTCTCTCTCTTCTTCTCTGTGGAAAAAAAAAAAAATCAATAAAATATATATTTTTTTAAAAAGGACAGGATGGACTGTCACCAAAATTGGGAAGGTATTTTTGGGATGGTCTGACTTGAAAGGCAAGCTATCACCGAATGCGGGAAATTCCTTACGGAGCCCTGGAGAGGACCCCAGAGAGCCAGCCAGCCAGCCCCGGGGGTGGCTGAAACCAGAGAGAAGCTGGGTAACTACAGGGGGACCCAAGAGGAGGCTGGGACAGAGAAATGGAGGCCAGCCCAGGAGGAGGCTGGGACAGAGGGTGGAAGGCCAGCCCAGGAGGAGGCTGGGACAGTGGGAGGGAGGCCAGCCCAGGAGGAGGCTGGGACAGAGGGTGGAAGGCCAGCCCAGGAGGAGGCTGGGACAGTGGGAGGGAGGCCAGCCCAGGAGGAGGCTGGGACAGAGGGTGGAAGGCCAGCCCAGGAGGAGGCTGGGACAGTGGGAGGGAGGCCAGCCCAGGAGGAGGCTGGGGCAGAAGGAGGGAGGCCAGCCCAGGAGGAGGCTGGGGCAGAGGGAGGGAGGCCAGCCCAGGAGGAGGCTGGGACAGCGGGAGGGAGGCCAGCCCAGGAGGAGGCTGGGACAGAGGGAGGGAGGCCAGCCCAGGAGGAGGCTGGGACAGAGGGAGGGAGGCCAGCCCAGGAGGAGGCTGAGGCTGGGGCAGAGGGTGGAAAGCCAGCCCAGGAGGAGGCTGGGGCAGAGGGAGGGAGGCCAGCCCAGGAGGAGGCTGGGACAGAGGGAGGGAGGCCAGCCCAGGAGGAGGCTGGGACAGAGGGAGGGAGGCCAGCCCAGGAGGATTCTGGGACAGAGGGAGGGAGGCCAGCCCCAGCTGGAGAGTCACGGGGCAGGCTCTCCGAAACCCTGAAGCCAGACCAAGTGCTTTCCCCGAGGACAATGCCAGCTGCTCCCTCCAGGAGGAAATGTTTATTGAAGGAGCATCAGTCAGTTTCCCCGCTCCCGAGTCACCTCCCACGCCCTGGTAGGGAGCCCAGCTGGTTCTTCATAACGAAATCTGCACCCCTTACTGGGTGACAGATCCCCGCACTCCCAGTTCATCCTAACGATTACCCTGGAAAGAAATGACCTGTCTTCACCATCACCACTGGGTAAACTGAGGCCCGGGGAGGTGCAGTGACTGGCCCAAGGCCACGCAGCCAGAGAGCCCCATCCAGGCCAAGCCTGCCTGGTTCCAGGCTCCGAACTCGCTCTCTCGTTATTCCGAAGGCACCAGCAGCCTCGCCCCCGTTTCCTCCCCCCCCGCCCCCTGCTGCCTCCCACCCAGCAGGGGCTCAGTAATAAATAGTTCCTGAGAGGAGCCGTTGTGATAAAGGACCCCTCTTTGCCAGCAGCTGACACCAGGCCCTGCGCCGCGGCTCCCGCTCCCCCGGAGCTCCCGCTGGCACCCCCCGACGGCTGGGGAAGCGTTTATGCTGGCGAGAAGGATATTCTTTATCCCGACAACACATTATTTACCACGGATCTGGCTAATTGGGCCTACCCTGCTATAATGGGTTGACACCAGATGTATCTGGGTGATTAGAGAAAATTTAGCATGTACGTAGTCTGTTTCGCTATTTTTTTCTTCTTCTTTTCTTTTAAAACTTCCCCGCTCCCAAGTCACCTCCCAGCATCCCCGGTGACTCAGGACAACGGCTGCTCCCGAGGCAGAAGCTCCTGGGGACGAAGGCAGCACCCGGGCACCGGGGACAGACAGATCCTGACTCCGGGCCTGGCCACTCCGAAGATCCATCGCCAGCGGCTGCTGGAAGAGGGTTGTCCTCAAGGAAAAGGGCGGGGCGTGGTGGGTGGTCCTGGGATGCAGGTGGGACGGGGGTGGCCTCTTTATTGGTTGAGCACCTCCGTGGGGCGGGACAGGACAGCACCCACTGTGTCAGGGGCTGTGCAGGGCGGTGCTCGGGCATGATCTGAGGCAGCGCCCACAGGAGCCCAAGGAGTAGGAATCCCTAGCCCCATCGTCCACACAGGGGAGAGAGAGGGGGCTCAAAGCGCGAAGCCACACAGTGTATCCGAGGCGGGATTCGAACCCACATCCACCTTAAGCCCGGCCTGGCTCCTTCCCTCCTGGCAAACCCTTTGAGCTCCTGATCTTTTCGGCTCGGGCGCTCTTCTCTCCGGATGTGGTCTGTGACGCCTTCGGAGTCAGACCACCTGCATCCAAAACCCAGCTCCTCTCCACTTTAGCTGTGTGACCTTGGTTGGGTGGGGACATTAGTCGATGTCCCTGAGTCTCAGTTTACCCATCTGCGAAATGGTGACTGCGGCCTACATGCTGGGCAGGTGGAACGGAGCGAGAGTTAACAAGGCCCTGGCACAGGGGCTGGGATACAGGAGAGACATGGAAAAAGGAAAATAATAATAATAATAATAATAATAATAATAATAGCCTTGCCGAAACCAGTTTGGCTCAGTGGATAGAGCGTCGGCCTGTGGACTGAAGGGTCCCGGATTCGATTCCGGTCAAGGGCACATATCTTGGTTGTGGGCACATCCCCAGTAGGAGGTGTGCAAGAGGCAGCTGATCGATGATCCTCTCTCATCGATGTTTCCAACTCTCTATCCCTCTCTCTTCCTCTCTGTGAAAAATCAATAAAATATATATATTTAAAAAAAATAATAAAAGCCTTGATTAGCTCAGGTTTCCGGGAATGGATTGCTGCCTTCAAAGTGGGTAAAATGAAGACTCCCTGAGCCACGGGCCACTGGCCACGGGGGCCTGGCCACCCGACTCCGCCTTCCTGTCGGCGGGAGGAACCGGGGCTGATGACTAGCTTCCCTGGACCCAGCTCCCCACGGAATCATTAAGCACCGTCCCCGTTCCATTAAGCAGACTCAGGACAATTCACCTTGCGTAATCACAGCACATAAAATTTTGCTTTGGACCCACGCCAGGGACATCGTAAAATTAATGTTACGGAACCGACGGGGGTGGGGGTGGGGAGCCTTACAAGGAGCTTCAACCCGGCTACATCCCAGAGGGGACACAGGCCGGGCGGGGTGGGCACGCTCAACAGCGGGGTGACCTCTGCTCTGAGGGGGGCGACCCTCCCTCGCGAGGCTGAGGGCGGCATCCTAAAGCAGAGACTCTCAAACTTTCAAGCACCCGCGAAGCTTCTCATAGAAATGCAGATTTGGATCCAGTCAGACTGGGGGGCGGTGGAGAGGAGGTTGCGATTTGCTTTTCTAAAAACCCCCCATGTGAAGTCGATGCCACCGGCCCAGGAAGACCTGGAGGGTCCAGAAAGCACAGACGGAGGCCGGGCCCCCCCGAGTTCTGACCCAGTGGGTCAGGGGCAGAACCTGCGGTTCTAACGGGCTCCCACGTGATACTGACATTGCTGGTGCCGGGCCCTAAGGTGAGGGCCTCAAAGACACAAATGAGAGAGAGGGTGGGGGCGGGCTGTGTGGGGCTTGGTCCGTTGCGGAAGGCTCTGGGCCAGAGCTCTGGAGGACCTGGGTCAGGTTTGAGGGGTGCTCCCATAATTCCAGACTTACATGGGGACCCCAGAACCCCAACACGAGATGTGCTGAAACCCCCCCCCCCCCTCTCACCCCTGAAGCTTCCAGGCTCAGCCGGTCCTGACCATCCCTTCTCTTGCTTTTTTTTAATTTAATTTTATTTTATTTTATTTTATATTTTATTGATTTTTAACAGAGAGAAAGGGAGAGAGATAGAGAGTTGGAAACATCGATGAGAGAGAAACATCGACCAGCTGCCTCTTGCACACCCCCTACCGGGGATGTGCCCGCAACCAATGCACATGCCCTTGACCAGAATCGAACCTGGGACCTTTCAGTCCGCAGACCAACGCTCTACCGCTGGGCCAAACCGGTTTCGGCCCTTCTCTTGCTGTTTAAAGCTCCCAGCTGACGGCCCCTTTAACAGGGTCTGTGCCAGGAGAGGAGAAGCTGGGTTAGCAACGCGAGAAAGAGCCCGGTACTGCTGCCTGGGTCAGACCCAGCTCAGTCTACACCGGGGGCCTCGGCCACGTGACTTCCTCCCTTCTGAGACGGTGTCTCACCTGTGAAATGAAGGTTATGATGCTGATGGCTGCCTTTCTTACCTCCTCAGCGATCAGATGGCTTACATGAGATAACGAAGGCTAAGTGCCTGCTCCCCCATGCGCTTCTCAAGCCAGTCCCCCCTCTTCACAGGACCTTGGCAGGCCCCTGCCTCTCTCTGGGCCTCAGTTTCCCCATTAATACACAGAGGACGAGTCAGGATTCTCAGTCCCGCCTGAACACTGGGAGCTTTACAAATGCAGATGCCCGGGGTGGCAATGCAGTCCTGGTCCCGGGCGCAGCCTGAGCACGATCTTCCCACAGTTCCTCTGGGGATTCTGAGGCGCGGCCGGGCTGAGGACCACCGGGTTCAGGGACCTCTCAGGTCCCCTCCAGCTCGGTCAGCGAAGGGTCCCTTCCCGGGCCTGGCTCCCGCCATTCGCATCTGCCAGACTTTCCCGCCTGGCCCTGACCGGTGCTCCCTGTCCATCGTTCTACAAATAAACCATTCTGCGGCCTCTTTGCTCCTGGCAACCACAGGACAAATGTCAGCACCACCTGTCCAGGTTTCCGTCCCCTTGCTGAGAGGGGAAGCAAGGCGGAGAGAGGGACAGATGGGGGAACAGGAACCCAGGTGGGCCAGGCCGGAGGGTTTTCATCAATGACAACAACAAAGAGCGTGTGACTGGTGGGTGGATCGCCAAGTCGACTACATCCCGCCAGGCTCCAGTCCTCTCAGGAGGGACAGAGCTTTAGGGGGAGGGCTGGGAGGAGCAGGAAGCACCCCCCTGACTTCGGGCTGGAACAGCCTTGTTTCTGGATGAATTTGGGGTGGGGGTGGGGGTGGGGGGAGCTGGCATTTCCAGGGGCTTTAAACTGGGTGATTCCTATCCACAGACATTTCAGTGAATCCACACGGTGGGTGAGCATAGTGGTTAAGAGCAAGGGCCCTGGAGGAAGAAGCCTTGGGATCCAAACCCCAGCTCCTGGGACTTCCTGCCAAGGCGCCTAGGCCTCCCTGCACCTAGCTTGTCCCTTTGTGAAAGGGTTCATTGTGCGAGAATCGTGTGATTCTCTTCACCGCCATGGCGCTGTGGGTGGCAACAGACAGGGGCGTTTGAGACCCAGGAGGGTGAAGGCAAGCGTTGGGTCGACATCAACGTTCTCACCGCGACCCTGGGCCGCCATTTTTAAATCGGTGTTTGGTGTTTTTTTTTTAATGTCTTATCATTGAGTTTTAAGACTTCTGTGTAAATTTTTACATCTATTTTTTGCCAATATTTTTTTCCCCAGCCTATAGCTTGTATGCGCATTGGAAGTTTACAATTTTTAACGAAGTACTAGACAGCCATCCACCGAGCCATCCATCCACGGCAGAGTAGATGGGACATCTTAATGGAGTCCGGTGGTGAGGGGCCAGCACTGCTGCTTTCCAGCTGGGCGACCTGGGGGCCAGGCCCTTACCCTCTCCGAGCCTCCCAACCTCCAAGTGACCCCTTAGGACCGCCTAGGCCACGTGACCTCAGGGCCACTTAGCCTCGGACCTTGGTCTGGATTTGGGTCTCCTGACCCTTGAACCTTCACCTCCTCCTCCACTCAATCAAATTACATCAACCTGAGGGTCTCCATCTCCATCACGCATCACGGATCACATGTTACAGATGGGATGATCTAAACTCAGGGAGGCGGGGAAGCTTATCCAGGAAGCGACGGGGCTGGGGATTAGAACCCTGGGGCGTCTGGCTCCACAACCAATGTCCCTAACCACTGGACCATCCCAGCCTAACTCCTGGAGGGCGATGCTCAGCAGATGCGTGGGATGTGGGAAGAGCACTAGAAGCGGAGGGACTGGAGTCTCCCACTCCAGGAGATGGCCCTGGCCCCGTGCACTGCCCGCTGCACCCCGGGACCCCTCTCCCCGGCACCCCTCCGCTCCCCAGCCGTACCTTTGCCCTTCCAGTGCGCATGCGCGGCGAAGCCAATGTGGCCGCCGTATTTGCGGTTGAACTCGGCCATGAGGGCCTTGTAGGGGTTGCGGATGAGCAGGATGGCGGCGTCGAAGGCCTCGATCTCCTTCTGGCCGCTCTCGTGCGTCTTGATGCAGATGGTCCTCCCGCTGCGCCAGTGGTCCCGCTCGCCTTTGAACCCTTCCCGCGGGGAGCCGGGGTGGGGGTTGGGGAAGGACACGGGGCAGGTGAGCGGGGAAGGCGAGAAGAAGCCCACCCGGCCCCGCGCTGGGCCTTTTCTTTGCGGGAGTCTCACACAGTCACGTGTGAAGGCCTTCATTGCAAGCTCTTACATCTTTATTGAGCACCTACTATGTGCCAGGCACTGGGATGGGAACTGGGGAATAAGATGATTTGCAAGGTCTCTGGCTGACTTAGGTATCCTTCTCCTTTATGTCCCTCTACCTTTGTTCACGGCCCTCATTATTATTCATGCATTCGTGTCACTATTAATATTACCGTTGGCATTCACTGGATGTCTGCCATGGGCCCAGTGCTGTGTGTGACAAGTGATTTATATATTCTGGGGTGTGTGTGTGTGTGTGTGTGTGCAGAAGGTCTGTTGTACCTGGCAAGTAGGCCATTCCCCCTTCTACCCCCTCAACAGGCATCACGACTGGATTAAGGCACTTTTGTTCCTGAAGGAGAACAGAAGCTCAGAATCCTTCTCAACACGCCGTTCCAAAGCAAAGGGATTCGCTGGAATGGACACGTGAGATGGGACCACTCTGGAGCCACGAACCAAAGGACCCTCAAGGACGCTTCTACAGTTTGTGACATTCCAGGATTCCCTGTAGGTCACCAATGTCCCCAAAGGGAACACGGCTATTGGATCTCCGTGCATAGCTCAGAGAGGCCGGCCGGTCAATGTCTGTGTGGAGGTACCTGCACGTACACGGTGTTTAAGGAATGCCCGCAGTGATCGAAGCGAAGGGAAGGGGCCCGAGCACATAGTAGGTCCCCATACACATGCTCGGTTGAGCTGAGCAGCACACAGTAGGCGCTCAGGAAGGGTGGTCCCACGGCCTCCCAGTGGCCCCTTTTAAGCCCAGGCAGCCTCCTCACCTTTGTTGTAGAGAGAACCGTCGAAGTAGTAGCTGCCGGTGTAGAAGCCGGTGGCCAGCTCGATGAGGTGGCGGGCCCACGTGTTGCCGGCCCCTGGGAAGCTGGCCAGAGCGATGAGCTGCTTGGACTTGGCTGGAAGGAACCTTCTGTCCATGCAGCGGTTGTCTGCAAAAGCAGGGCATGACCAGGGGGGCAGGGGCAGGCGTAGCCTGGGTGTGAGTCCCTCCCGTGCCACTTCCTAGCCATTCGACCCGGTGTTGCATGATGGAACCTCTTCTGGGCCTCAGTTTCCCCTTCTGTAAAACGAGGGAAACGGCTCCTCCCTCACAGGATTGATGTGAGCGTTAAAGGACAATGCATGAAAAGGGATTCGCACATAGTAGGGATTCAGTAAGTCAGGAGAGCGAGTGTTCTCTACTGCCTCAGTTTCCCCCTGCCACCATACGTCACCGTCTCCTACCCGCACCCTCTCCTCCAAATTAAACCCCTCGGGCGGCGTCCATCTACGTGAGATCCAGTCCAAGTTTCCTGACTTGGTTCCTAAGCCCTGTGGGGTCTGGGCCCCTGCATCCTCCAAGTCTTATCCCACTCACCTGCTTCCCCTCCCACCTCCCACCTGCCACCTGCCACCTAGTGTCCCTTCCTGTCCTCGCCTGCGCTCTGCGCCTCCCTGACTCAGCACCCAACTCAGCGCCCTCAGGCACGCTGTTCCCTCCGCCTTCACTGTCTCCTCCCCGCCCTTGCCAGCCAGACCGATTCTTATCTTCCCACTCTCTGCTGACCCGGCCCCTCCTTCCTTCCTGACTCCCGGGCTAGTGTTCGAGTACCACAGTGTCCATCTCCTTCGTGTCGCTTATCACAACTGTCGTTCAAAAAGTATTTGTTTTAGCAAGAAACCCTGCCTGTGCTGTGACTCCATGGCCCCGCAGTGCTTCCCATACTATCTGGCATAGAGCAGCGGTAATAAATGTTTCTTGGACGGATGCGTGGATGGATGGATGGATGGATGGATGGATAGATGAATGGCCAGATGGATGGTTAAGTAGACGGGTGGGTGAATGGGTGGTTAGATGGATGATGGATAGGTGTGTAGGCAGATGAATGGGCAGATGGCAGATGGATGGGTGGATAGATGGATGCAATGGTGATTGGGTGGGTGGGTGGCTGGGTGGGTGACAAGAACATCAGGATTGTAGGGCTATCGTAAGGATTAAATGAAACATTGCATGGAATGCATTGAAGTGCTAAAGCGCTCAAAAGGTGTAGTAATTAATTTTCTCCAGCCCTCAACTTCCACACCTGTACAATGGGTTGGGACAGGTGAGCACCATTCTGATACTCTCCATTCTCTGCCTCTACAGAGACCCCGGGATGCCATGGAAAGTGTATGCAACAGCCTTGGGGTGCAGCCCCGCCCGGAGCTAAGAAGGCACAGGGGTGATTTGGCCTGCTCCCTACAGATGTGAGGGGAGCTGAGGGGAGGCCCCGAGAAGGGAAATGAGTTGCCCAGGATCATGCAGTGGGTCTGTGTCGGAGACCCAGGTCTCCCCCTCCCAGCCCGATGCCTTCCCACTCAACGCCACAGTCTCCATTTCAAGAAAAAAGCTACCAAGGGGGTTTGCAGTATGAAGGATAGAGTTGAGGGTCCTTAGAATCCACCCCTCGTCCTCCCTCTGTGGCCCATCCAGAATCTGTAAGCCTTGCCAAGGTCACCAGCCCTGCCCCTGCCCTCCGCCTCCACCCTCCATCCTCCATCCCGGCCCGCTGGCCTGCACAGTGTGGCTGTGTGGAGTGGACCGTCCTGGCACCTCTGGGAGGGAGGCCCTGGGAGAGCACCCAGGGTCGCGGGGGAGGCCTGGCTCACCCTGCACCTGTGTCTGGTACACGATGAAGTAGCTGGGGGTCCCACAGCTCTCAAACTCCTCCGCGCTGCACTTCTGGGCGCACAGCTGCTCGTCTTCCCTCTCGTGCAGGGGGAAGCGCGTGGTGGGGAAGCCGCAGTGGCACTCGGTGCCCGCGAGGGCCGCCAGCGGGTACTCCTGGGGCGGGCGAGGGAGAGGACGAGGGAGAACTCTGCTAAACCCCTGGACATGGAGCAGCCCAAGCCGTCCTGTCCCCATCCCCCTCCCCAACTGGGGATCCCGAGAAGTGGTGAGGGAACCCCGCTTTTACAACATGGCCCCATTTGTGTACCTCCTCACTATGGTATTCTTCCAGCTTTACTGAAGAACTAAACAAAAATAGTATGTCTTGCCAAAACCGGTTTGGCTCAGTGGATAGAGCGTCGGTCTGCAGACTGGAGGGTCCCACATTCATTTCTGATCAGGGGCATGTACCTTGGTTTCGGGCACATCCCTGGTGGGGGGTGTGCAAGAGGCAGCTGACTGATTGTCTCTCATCGATGTTTCTAACTCTCTATCCCTCTCTCTTCCTCTCTGTAAAAAATCAATAAAATATATTTTAAAAAATAGTATGTCTTTAAGGGGATGTCTCGATACTTGTATACGTGGTGAGTCGATCATCACAATCACGCTAATTAACATACCCGCCACTTTAATGGTGACCATTTTCTTCGTTGTTTCCCTGTTATTTATTTATCTATTTGTCTCCTTTCAGTCCACTCACTTTTTGGGACTTAAATTTCCCAGGAAACTTTGTACCCCTCCCAGGGCTTCCATGGTGTCCATGCTACACACGCAAATGCCATGGACACACAACAGTGTGATTAAGTTCTCACTAAGGCCTCCTGCCTGCCAACACTGGGCCCTGTGCCGGCTCCATTTTTCCTGCAAAAAGGGAGATTAGTTGAGGGCAGAGAGTGCGCAAGACACTCCAGCACTGAGCTGAGCTTTCTCCCGGAGGAACTGGGAAGAAAACTGAGAAATAAATGCCTTCCTCACGGTGTGCCACCCGCCAGGGTCCATGCCCCCTGGTCTGATGGAGAGACACAGCCCACGCCTCAGGGAAAGCCGCCTGGATCCGTGCCTGCATGCCACAGAGGCTCCTGGGGCCTGCGAGGACCAGGCTGGGCTGGGAGAGCAGCTCCTCATCGCTTTGCTTGTTCGATGGGAAGCAAAGTGGGAGCGACCTGGGATCCGGAGGGCAGGGGGCTGACTGTCCTTTGTCCAGTCTGCTTCTACTCAAGCCCCACAGCCCAATTCCCCCAGGAAGCTGGTCCAGGAATAATCCGGTAACGAACCAAAGGCGCTCCTCCATGGCTGGGTCCAGTGAGTTCTACCAGAGTAGGCTGGTCTCCCCTTTAGCAGTGATGGGAACTCCCTCCGTCCCAAAGTGGGGCGATCCCTACATCTACCTGGCAGTCTTGCTTTTAGGCCCAGCTCACGCCTGAGTATTCCTCACTATCGCGAGAGGAACTGACCCTGTGTAAGCCCTACCTCGGGGGGAGACAGATGACAAGGGCACACCCTCCCCCACGTCACGGATCACAGGATCCCCTCCCTCGCCAGCCCAGCATCCTGTTCCACCAGCCGTTCCACACTGCCCCTCCCCGGCCTCCCCCCCCCCCCCCCCCCCCCCCCCCGCCCCCCGTCTCACCTTCTCTGTGCAGAGGTCCACGCACTTGTCCACCGACATGTTTGGCATGGCGGCCGTCACGGGCAGGGCCAGGGAGAGGTTGCTGGGCCGGCGGAAGCAGCCTCGGAAGACTGCGCTGCCATCTGCAGAGCCAGAGGGGAAAGGGGCGTCAGGTCCAGGCTGGGAGAGCCACCTTCTGACAGAAGCACTTTTAATTATTTTCATTTTTAAAATATATGTATATTTTATTGATTTTATTGAATATCACAAGGGCCCATGCCCCACATCCCCACAGAGTCAGCTCCTCGCTGCCAGGCTAGCTGAGACGGAGTGTGGCCTCCGCGTCTTGGGAGGGGAGAGGGGGAGGCGGTTATGAGTGAGGGGCGGGCAGAGCAACTGTGCAGCAGCCCTCTTTGCTGGGGGCAGACGAAGTCACAGCCCGGAACCAGCTGCAAGTGCCTCTGAAGTCCCGTTATCTTTTTGTTCTGGGGCTTCACACACACACACACACAAATGAAGTAAATGTCGTCGTTGGCTTAAAGGCGGGCATGGAAGAGTTCTCCTTGGTTTGAAAGAGGCTAACACCTCCCTGCAAACCCTCTCCCCCGCCCCCCTGTAATTAGGCCAAGCTCCACTGCATTAAAGATGCAGGCGGGGAAGGAAGGCAGAGCTGGGAGCCGAGCTGGGAGCCGTTAACAGCTCCCTATAATCACAGAGAGATGGAATTACGCAAAGAGCCTGACTGTCTGAGAAGAATTCAAACCAGCCATCTCCGGGCACCCCTGCAGGCTCCCGTGGGCGTGTGCACTTTCAAATAACCTGATCCGGGTGGTGCTCGGAGGAGACTGAGGAGTTTCCACTCTAAGGAGATTGGAGGGGTGGGGATGGTGTTTACAAACACTCCATAGCAGGCACTGTGCTAGATGCTTTCTCCATTGTGTCTCACTGAGGGGGTCACAGCAACCTTGAAAGGTTGGGATTGATTGCCCCCATTTTACAGACGAGGCAGTTGAGGCTCAAAGAGAATGCATGGCCTGGCCAAGGTCCACAGAGCAAACAAGCGAGAGAGCTGGCATAGGAACAATGTCCGCCTGACTTCAAAACCCACGTTGCTCCCACAGCCTTCTGGGATTGTGTGGAGGGGAGAACAGCTAAGCAATTCTCCCCTCCTCATGAGGGAGAAGGAGAAAAAGCTTCTAGTTACCACCTCCTTGGTTCTGCACTGCATAATTCATGAAGGCCCGCATAAAACCCAGGATTCCCAGACATACATCAAGGGCGAGGAGAGGCCTGCAGGCCGGGCAAAGAAGGAACTAGGGTTGGTCTATCCATCAAAATGGGACTTTTTCCCTGCAATCGTCGGAGGCGCCCCTCAGCAGAAGTGGTCAGAATGGAGTATCCGTGAGCATAAATCAGCAGCAGTGAACAAAATTTCCCTTCTAACTTTGGAAGACGGGGAGGAAAAAAAAAAAAATCACTAGAGCTAACAACGGCACACAAACATCCACTCTGAATTGTGAACCATGAAGTCCAGGATCTGTTTTGTTCAGCACCACGGACAGCCACCACGGGACTGACTCGCAGATGTTGCAATACAAATCCGGCAAGAATCTTCCAAGCGAATTATGTTTCCTGTAACACCCAATAAAGCCACCCATGTTTGCACGGCCCGGCAGGTGGCTGCCCCGGGAGCAGAGCTACCCCTGCTGCTGCCCACACATTTAGCAGACTGCTGTGAAAAGTGCAATCCAACCACGAGGGGAGTCCATTTCTCGGTTCTTCTGTGGCAACAGGAAAGGGTCCCGGAGCGTCTGGGTCAAGGCAGACTAGCTGGGTGCCTGCAGACTCTTGCTCTGCCAACCTTTTCGTGCGCTTGCTGCCGTGGGAGCCTACCGGGACCTCCCCACGGAAGGTGGATGCCCCCCACCCGCCCCAGTGGTGCCTGGAAGACAACAAACTCCCTTGGAGTCCGCACAGTCTCCAGGTGTCCGCTGCCGCTGCTCAGGGAAACGCAGTCACCACACGGTGCCGATACCAACGGACGATGCTACAAAGGGGACCCGGTGTCCATTCTCCCTGCCTCCTGGAGGCAGCAGGTCGCTTCTGTGACGGATGGAACACGTGTGAGTGTCATATGCTGGTGACCGGAGCCCCCCATGCTCCAGGCTTTGCTCACTCTATTCCCTTGGCCTGGATTTCTCTGCCGCGACTTGGTAACGTGTCTTGAGCCTGGATGTCTCCCTCTTCTCCATCACGCAAAACCCTGTGTGTCTCTTAAGGCCCTAATCAAACAGCCCTCCTCTGGGAGCCTTCCCCGAGGAGGGTCAATTGAGCCACGTCTGCTCTCTGGGCCTCAGTTTCCAAAACTGTAAAATGGGACATCAGAAGAAAAGGTGCTTCCAACATGGCATTCAACACCTGAACTTTGCTGAGCCTGGACTTCTGTTCGTGGCTAGAACACAAGGCTCTCTCTCTCTCTTCCACCTAGAAGTCTCCTCTGAGGAAGGTTTAGCTCCAGGGTTGCTGCCTTGGCTCCTGTAGACAGAGTCCCCACAACCCCCTTCCCAGGGGCCTGTCTCTCCACTAGACACCTTAGGGGTGGCTCACAAGCAACCATCCAGCCCTCCTACGTTTACAAGGGCAAAACACACCCTCGCTTAGTGGTCTCCATGGGTTGAGACTTATAGTTCAGCTTATAAAGTCTCAGATGATCAGTGAGCATCTACACTGATAAAAGAGAAAAATGCTAATTGACCATACCTTCGCTATGCCCACAGCCAATCAGAGTGAGCATGCAAATTAACCCAACAAGAAGGAGGTTAATTTGCATATGCAGGCTGGAGCAGTGTGAAGCCTGCTATGAGGGGAAGGGAGGCAGCGGAGGGAGCTACTGGAGTGGTGCTCCAGACAGAAGTGGGGACGTGCTGGCTCCCAGGCAGCCTGGGAGCCGGAACTTGCCGGTTCCCAGTGGAAGTGGGGACTTGCCGGCTCCCGGGCAGCTGGGCGTGAAGCCAGAGGCCTATGCTTGCACGTTGTGCAACGGGCCTCTAGTGTTATTATAATAGGTAATCTCAGAAATGTGTGTGTGTGTGCATGCACGTGTGTATGAGAGAGACAGAAAGATAGAGATAGAGAGAGAGAGAGAGAGACAGAGAGAGAGAGAGAGAGAGAGAGAGAGAGAGAGAGAGAGAGAGAGAGAATGAGAATGTCCATTCTGAACATTAACCAAAAGGACGTCTGGCTGATATCTGGCTAATGACACTCACAGCCCCAGCCTTGTTATCTGGCTCGTCCCACCCACTGGGTTGTTTTAGTGGCAGCATCTTTTCCCTTTAAATACCCATGGCACTAAGGCCATGTCTTCAGACGGTCAAAGCCACCATCAAAACAACATAAATATTGGCAACAGGGCTTCAGTGATGGGGATGATAAACCTACCATCACATTAAAACCTCATTACATGAACGGCCAAGCCAGGCACTGGCTGTGCCAACATTCTCCAGCTGGGATCTTTCCTACGCCACCTGCACCCTCTGCCAGCCAGGCCTTCGGACCCACAGGGAGGCGGGTGGGGCATCCGTTTGCAGAAACTGGCCCCTTTGCAAACTCACTGGACCCTACTGCAGAGCGAAGCTTGAACTGGGCTCCAAAAATACGGCGTTTGTAAAACAGAGCACATCCTCAAGCAAACCATGGATGCATTTTTATAAACAACGGCCTTCGGGTGGAAGAGACCGCTCTGCGTGGGCAGACAGGTGTGAAGTTTTGTGCGGGCTAGCCTGCCTTCCAGGCGGGCCTTATCGGCTCCCCCGGGGCCTACGGCCTTATTACTTATTAAAGTGTGGTTCCTGGACCAGCAGCCAGGCATCGCTAGAGAGGCCCTTAACAATGTACAATAGTATCCCACTCGGACCTGCTGAATCCCAATGTGCGTTTTAACAAGATCCCCACAGGGTTCACCTGCACGGTCAAGTTCGGGCAGCGCTGGCCCCGGGGTAAGGAGGACCATCCTCCTCCAGCCTCCATCTTTTGTCAAGGCCGTTAGCTCTTTTTATAGTCTGAAGGTCACCTTTAATTAGACTGCGTGGCCTTGGGCAGGTTTACTTAAATTCATTAGCCCTCGCTTTCCTCACTATCCAATTCTCAATGGTAACATCCCTGCCAGGGAAGGCTGTAGGAGAGGTAAATGAGATGGGTTCTGCCGTGGGCTTAGCAAGGTGCCTGAAACACAGCAGATTTTGACACTCGGATATTAATTGCTATTCAGCAAACATAGAGGGGGCAGTAGGACACTGTCCTCAGCTCCTGGCCTCTGCTATTTGTCCCCCTTCCTCCCTCAGGGTGGAAACTGAGAACTTTTGCAACAAGACGGAAGCACAGACAAGCGAGGAATGAACTCTCTCCATGGAAGCATTAAAGCCATAGGATCTGGAGTTGGTTTAAATTCTCTGCTGCTTATATGACATTGAACCTCAGTTTCCTCATCTGTAAAATGGGAGTAGGTGACTCCTCGTGCCTATGTGAAGCATGAGTGTGAGAATGAGATGTACTATTCCATATAAGGGACTTAGAAGAGGGCGCATTGTTTGCCATTGTCATTGTCATCATTGTCATTGTCATTGTTAGAGACAATCTGCTTTCAGAAACTCAGAAAGGACAGGCTCAGCTTATGCTCTAGCTCAGATGAAGGAGGAAGATGGGGACAAGTGATCCAGCAGGCAACTCAGGGCAGGAGATAAACGGGGGAGGGGGTGGAAACATGCCAAGCAGCTGGGGCAAAGGGCTCTGCACGCGGTGGATGGGAGGTGAGCCTGGGCAGGACAGAGACAGCCTTGGAGGGCAGCCGACGGCCTGGGGGTGATGGGAGCCATGGGAGGTGTGGGACAGACCAATCTGAACATTAGCCGAATGCAGGTAGGCAGGCAAGGGCCAGGGCCCGCTGGCCAAGGAAGGAGCTGCAGGGAGGGGCAGGGGCCGACTCACGTACACCTGCGGGCCGACTCCTGGGCCAGCTGCAGCCGGTAGATGGAGAGGCGGTTGGCGCCGCCGCACAGGCTGCCCCGCTCGCCCTTGCACTCCATGTCGCACTCGGCCTCGCTCACGTTGGCCGCCTGGATCTTGTGGCCGCAGTAGCACTCGGCACCGAACTCCAGCCCGGCATACAGGTAACCCCTAGGGAAGGCTGCGGTCAGGCCAGCGCGGCTGCCGCCATGGAGACCCCCGGGGACCCAGCGAGGAGACCTGGGATGAGAGGACTCTGGGGGCCAGGACCCCTAGGGACCACCCACTTGCCTTCATCCCCACCTGATGTCTTATACCCCATTCACCTACCCACATAGACATACCATGGCCATATTGACTGTCACCTGTATATACCTTTAACACAAGGCATGCTTCACACACACACACACACACACACACACACACACTTATGCATCCACAAAGCCTTACAAGACCCTTTCTTTGTGGCCCCGCGCTCGCCCTCCATCACATGCTCCCAAGGAAAAGAACACCACAGGCAGGACCCTGAGAAGGAAGGGGTCCGAAGTGAATGGAGCTTGGGACGTCAGGGCCCTACCGTTCTGCGCAGTTGTCCTGGCAACGGAAGACGGTCATCTTTTTGTAGTCGAAAAAGGACACGCCTCGCAGGGCCCGACTCTGGATGTTGTCCAGGTAGCAGCCGATGTACTTGGCTTTGGGGAGAGGAGAAAAGTCAGACGGGGATGGGGTGGAGGCTGAAAGGGGGAGGGGAGTAAGCAGGTGCCTTGGCCGTGTGGCCTTACGGACTTTTTGGTACCAATTCCTTCCTCTGAGCAGAAAAGCAGGCAGGAGAGACTGACAGTCATGGGCACTGGCAGAACCTGGCCCCTAAGGGCAGTGGAGTCCAAGGGGTAGGGCTGTGGGCCCTGGAGGCCAGCAGAGCAGAGGAGGGGCCTCCCCTGTGACCAGGGTCAAGGTCAACCCTGAGCTCCATTGGTGACGAGTGGGCAGAGGGAATCCAAGCCAAGGCCACTCCGTAGCATCAAGCAATGAGACCCACACGGAGGCAGCTCTGAAGAGCCTGAACCTCGGCAGCATGTTATCATTTCCTGGGCCAGGGCTGGGGACGCCTCCCCCACCAACACTTCAGTGCAGGCTGTGACCGACACAACGCGGTCCCTGCTCCTGAGTGCTCCCTCCCGCCGAGCTCACCACAGCTGTTTCCCCAGAGCCCTGCCCAGGCGGCAGAATCCCTCCGACAAGAAGGGGGGGCCAGGGGTCTAAGCCAGACCACGTCACAGGCCACTTGAGGGTGGATGAACGGCCGAGGCCACACGATCTATCAGCTTGTCTCTGCCACTGCGGTGCACATATCGCTGGGATGGCAGAGCCGCCCCAGCCCGGCTGTTTGTCTCAAAAAGCCCGGAGACCAGCGAGGGCTGAGCCTGGGAAAATGCCCTCCCTGGGGTGTGTTTTGCTTTCCTTTTTGCTTCTGCTTCCGTTTATCTTCTTTTCCAAGAAACGCTGCTCTCTTCACTAAGGTGATTTGTTAAAAGAGGAGCTAGCCGTGACTCATTGGGATTCCTCTTATTCGCTGTCTGTGGGTAGATTCACAAACGGGAGGCAGCGGCGCATACGAGGAGGACGGTTTTGAGGTTAGTCGGATCTGGGTTCAGATCCTGACACAGCAGTGGCCTTGTGCTAGTTTATTACCCAAGCTCCCAGAGATATTATTGTTCTGCCCAAAAAGTGGGAATAAGAACAGAGGTGTTGCCAAAACCGGTGTGGCTCAGTGGATAGAGCGTCAGCCTGCGGACTGAAAGGTCCCAGGTTCGATTCCGGTCAGGGGCATGTACCTTGGTTGTGGGCACATCCCCATTGGGGTTGTGCAAGAGGCAGCTGATCGATGATTCTCTCTCATCGATGTTCCTAACTCTCTATCCCTCTCTCTTGCTCTCTGTAAAAAAAAAAATAAAGAACAGGGGTGTTGTGTCCCCCCTAAAAGCCATCTGTTGAAGTCCTAACATCCCCCACCAGAATCACAGCCTCCCCCGGGCCCCAGCGTTTACCCTTCTTACCTCGCTCCTCCTCCTTCTCCCGGACAGCCCTCCCCTTGAGGGCTCGGCTCCAGGCTCCACCTCCATAGTCGCCCAGCTTGGCTCTCTCCATCCCATCTTTGCCCTTGAACCAGGGTCCGTGTCCGTATCTGCGGGCGAGGCTCAAGGTCTCCCCCGCGTCCCTGAAGCCTCTGCCCAGGTGCCAGTCTTCCAGGAAGGGCACCTCGGCGCCCTCGGCCGGGGCCCCGGCGGCTATGGCGGCGGCTACGGCGGCGGCGCTGGCCTGGTTCTGGGGGACGGCGGGCTGGCCCACGAAGCCGGCGTGCAGGAAGACGAGGCTCCCGGCCGTCAGGTAGAGCACCAGGAAGATAAAGAAGCGCACGGGCTTTCGGCGGAAGTACCGCTGGAACTTGAACCAGAGCTTGGCCATGGCGGGATCATTCCGGACTGGCTGGGGCCGGGGGCTTGGCTGAAGGGGCCACAGGGCGGGGCCGGAGGGGGTTGGGGCCTTCCGTCTTATTCCTTCTGCGAAGGCATCAGACCTGGAGGGCTTCTAGCAGGCGGCTGAGGCCAAAAGGACGGAAATCAGAACTGGCCAGCCCACCCGAGGCCAAGGTGAGCGTCTCTGAGCCACAGAAGGAGTTCTGAGGTTCTGGACAGCCAGAAGTGGGTCCCATTTCCCTACATCTTGTTCTTGGCCTCCGAGAGCCCCGAAGAACTCTGAGAGGAGCGAGTGGAGGGGGGTTCTCAGGTCACCAGCCGCCCCAGTGCCCTCCTCGCCTTTCTCAGCTGCTCAGGCCGGTCGGGGCTGGATCATCTCACCGAGGCCGTTCCCGGCTTCTTTCCCAGCTGGGGACCACGCTCGGGGTGTCCGCTTGTGGAAACAGAAGCCGGCGGGTGTCCATCTGGTCAAGCATCAGGGCTCAGGGCCACCACCTGCAACACGGCACAGACACAGGCATGAGCCAGAGCTTGAAGGCTCTCAAACATTTTCAATCATTGATCCATTGCCTCTGGATCGGATGCCTCCTGAGTACATGCCGACCAGGGAACAGCAACCTTTCAGTGCATGGGATGACACCCAACCAACTGAGCCACACCAGCCAGAGCTATTGTTTTTTAAAATAAAAGTTTAGTGAGCAGCTACTATATGTAGCAGACACTGTCCTGGGTGCTGGAGACAAAGCTGTGAATGAGAAAGACCAAGTCCCTTCCCTCACAGGCTCACATTCTAGTGGGAGAGATCAGGTGCATGGTTCCTCTCCGTTATCCAAGGAAGAAAAAAAAAAAAAAAAAGAGGGGGGGGGAGGTTCATTTAGCAACTTATTCATTCACTAAGATTTATCCTGCTTTGTGCCAAGCCCTCTGTGTGTATTATCTCATTTAGCCTTCCCATGGTCCTATGGGAAATCACTATTTCCCTATTTTATGGATGAGGAAACCGAGACCACAGAAATGGAGAGTGGTGGCACTGGGATTTGAACACGGGACCATCCAAATGGAAAACCATAGCTCTTGACCGTGTCCTTTCCCCACGTGGTCTGGACGCCACTTGGGAATTTGGAGACGGTCCCTGAAGCAGCAGCCCATCTGCACTGCCTCCTGGTGACCTGCAGTGGCTCGCCCTGGGGACAGGGTCCCTCAGAGTGTGGTCGGAGAAGCATCGGGTTCAGAATCGTCTATAAGCTGGATTAAAGAGGCCTGACTTCTCCAACCAGGAGAAGGGAAAAGCTACAGGTGTAACGAGGTGCCCTCAGATGATGGTGATGAGCACAAGGGTTTTGAGGACCACTGCTTTAAGAGTAAACCTTCAGGATCTTCAACAGGAGAAAAACAGAACGTAAATTAGAAAAGAGAAAGGAAACTCCCTTTGGCTGGCGTTGTTTCACATTAACACCAGCAGGGGGCCTCATCACAACCTTGGTCAAAGCATGGATTCAACTGTCAGCCACTGGGCCATTTGAATGGTAACAGCTCCTCCTAATCCAGATAGTAGCACGGGAATTTAATTAACTGTGGTTCAAGGTAGAGACGGCCAATCCCCCAAATGCCTTTCCATTCACCTAGGAACTAAGTACTGAGCACCTACTATATGAACAAAACTGCCCCCATCCATGCTCCTGTGGGGTCAAACTATCTGCTCTCCCATAGAATCATTCATTGCTCCATCATCCTTTAATCCACCCGTCAGTCCACCTACCCATCTATCCATCAAGTCACAATCTATCTACCCATCCGTCATCCATTCCTTAATCCAGCCATCCATCTACCTACCCCTCCATCCACCCACCATTCATCCATCTATCCATCCACCTACCTGAACTGTAACAGCACATTCATCCATCTAACTCTCCACCTATCCACTCAGCTACCCATTCTTCCACTCATTTAAAAACACGTGTTTCTTGCCTATCTGTGTGTGCGTGGGATGCAGAAATAAATAATTCAGAGTCCCTGCTTTCAGATAACTCAGAGCCTCCCCCGGGAAACAGCAATTTCAATAATCGCTACACTAAATCACTGTACAGATAGACAATGATAAATCCTGTAGTAGATGTAAGTAGAAGATATAGAACAGCAATTAATATGAATAACTCATGTTTGTTGAGCACTTACTGTGTGCCAGACATTGCTCTAAACACACAATAGTCTGATTTAATCCTCATAACAATTCTAGGAGGGAGATCTGTATTGATTTTACAGACAGAGGCGAGAAATGAGGCTCAGAGAGGTTAAGTAACTTGCCCAGGAACACACAGCCAGTAAGCGTCAGCTGGGGTGTGAACCCAGGGCCAGTGGATTTCACAGGTTGTGCTCCTAACCTTGTGTCTAGACTGGTCTTGTATCCCTTTGAGAATCTGATGAAAATTACACACGTACGCACAGAAAAGAACGTTTGTACATAAGCCCTCGGATTTGAGTTTATAATGTTAGGGGGTTTGGGGGCCAGGGGGTGAGAAGTCCTTGGAATGTGGGAGCCCAGAAAACTAAAGGTACATACCCCTGACCGGAATCAAACCTGGGACCCTTGAGTCCACAGGCCATGCTCTATCTACTGAGCCAAACCGGTTAGGGCAGTGGTCGGCAAACTCATTAGTCAACAGAGCCAAATACCAACATACAACGATGGAAATTTCTTTGGAGAGCCAAAATTTTTAAATGTAAATTTCTTCTAACGCCACTTCTTCGACATAGACTCGCCCAGGCCGTGGTATTTTGTAGAAGAGCCACACTCAAGGGGCCAAAGAGTCGCATGTGGTTCGAGAGCTGCAGTTTGCTGACCACTGAGTTAGGGGAAGACACACATTCCCCAGGTCCTCCCTGATCCATAGACTGCGTCTCCATGACCTCAGGTCGGGGCTCCGTTGGCCTCCACTTGCTCATCGCCCGTGGGAAACCCTGGCTGCATTAGTATCCTTCTTCCCTGGTCACGCGCAGCTCTGAGGCAGGGCAGGTGTCATCACCTCCGAGCTGCAGCTTTCTCTCCATCAAGTGTGTGTGTGTGTGTGTGTGTGTGTGTGTGTGCGGGGGTGGGGGGGGTGACCACAGACTCTCCCTCCTGGGGTTTGGGGAGGACGCCACAAGAGGCTCCCTAAGGCCTGATGGAGTCCGTGCTTACAAAGAGCTGGCAACCACGGCTTCATCCCTCTTCGTTTTACATGAGGCCCCTCTGAGCCTCAGTTTCCCCATCTGTCGAGCGTGGCCGATGACACCTGCCCGACTCCCCTCCCAAGGCTGGTGGGAGTTTCCACGGGGACGAGGCGCAGGGCCCCCCTCGGCGGGAAGGGTGGCATTTGGTTACCGCAGCCCGTGTTTCCAGGCGGAGCTCCCAATGTCCAAACAGCCTATTTTTAGCACCGCAACGAACCTCTGGGGTTAAGCTGCCAAGAAAATGCCTGGCGGACAGGGCTGCCCTGTGGGAAGGGAACACAGGAGGGGCGGCCTGCCTCGCCCTCCCTCCCCCGAAAGGGCCACAGTGGATCTGGCTGGGAGCCTGTGAGGCTGGGCAGCTGACCAGCCCTCCCTTCACAGGCCCCCGGACTCTACTTAAGAGCACAGGATTGGGGACCGGCTGACGACCCCCTGGTCATCCAAGCTGGGCCAAGACAGATACTGAGAAAGCGGTTTTGTGATTTCTTCACAGTTCTAGGTAGGAAAGGCAGCTGGGGATCTCTAACACAAGGAGAGTCCCGGCCTGAGGTGAAATTTTAGTCTTGATCTAATGATAAAAAAAAAATATCAGAAATCGCTGGTGTTAACTGAGCATCTGCTATGTGCCAGGCACTGTGCTGGGCATCTTATTCCCACTGAGCCCTTTAATCCTCGCGAGAACCCCATTGAGGTAGCTAGTAACCTCTTGGGGCCATCCCTCAGACCCTTCTCCAGGTAGATGGACCCTACCACCCGACCCAACTCTTTTAACAAAGTCCTTCTCCTCCTTCTTGCTCCTGGACCAGCCACTGGGTAAGTGAAAGGAGTGATAAAATAAATAGTCTGAGGAATACCATTGTGAATGTCCATCTGTGGCTTTCCCTCACGCTCGTAAGGGATCCAGAATTTTATGAACCCAGCTCACCCTGGGAAGCATTAGGCACCCTGACAGGGTGTGTGGATGCCCCGTTGTTGTTGTTTTGCCAGTTTGCAGTCTTTGCAAAGCTGCAATGGGCATTTCTGTACAGACAGACCTACTTGCAGGGTCAAAACAGTGGGGCTGCCATGTCTGAGATTCCGTGTGTGTGTGTGTGTGTGTGTGTGTGTGTATGCACCCTCACGCAGCTCCACGCACCTCCTAGGAAGAGTCCCCAAGACCCCCCCCCCCACTGCCTCCTCTGAGATCCTCGGCCGAGGACCCGCCTGCCACCACCTGGCAATCACCGCGCGCCATCTATATTCATTTCCGTTCCTCCTTCCAAAATTCGGGAAAATAGATGAGAAGGCAAAGTGCCATTAGCTAAATGGCCTTTAACACCCAGCCATCTGCCGTGATGTAATTAAATAAAAAAATCAGAGGGAGCATATGGTGCCCATTATAAATAAATATTAAAATTTTGTTTCCCTGGGTAATGACTCCAGTGCCTCTGGCTCAAACTTTACGGCCACTGTCACTTACTGCGGGGAGTCAGGCCGGGCCGCAGAGAGCGGGTGGGACCGGCAGGAAGTGACACAGGAAGCGGCCAGGTCCAGTGTTAGACATTGCTGGTCTGCGCTGGCCTCAGCCACCTGGTGGCTGTGAGGCCTTCAGCAGGTGGCCTCGCTGAGATTCCGTTTCCTCACCTGCCACACAGGACCAACCCGCCCTGCCGCGTGAGGAAGCTAGCGAGCTGAAATGAGCTCACATCTTTAAAATGCATGAACACAGTCATACTTACCATATGTGCTAGTATTTATTGAGCACCTACTATATATATGTCAGGCACTGTCCTAGAAATT